GTTTTTTTTTTTTTTTTTTGTATTGGGGATCAAACTTGGGCCCTTGTGCTTGTGAGGCAGGTGGAAGAACCACTGAGCCAAATCCCCTGGCTCTCCTTGGCTCTTTTGGACCTCACCCAGCCCTTCAGCTTCTATACAGTAAAACAGGGGATGTGCAGTGGGGGTTTTCTCACAGAGTCCAAGCCCATGTCCAGTCACGTTCCTGTTCCAACAGCTTGACCCCATGGTCTTGGGCTGGCTGCCGTGCCTACAGACAGCTACCACAGCAGCCCTGATACTTCTAGAATCACTCAAAAATTGCTAGACATACTCTACTCACCCTCTACTCTTCCCACAGCCTTCTGGGACTCATATCCTTATCCCTCATCTCACATTTTCTTTCTGCCCCTTACCGTCTTCAGCTCTATGTGCTCTTCATTGAAATCCTTATGGTTGCCATCACCTTGGGCCCCAATTTTAAGCAAGCCTCTTATAGACATGCTGTCTCTTCCTAAAGAGTGTGAACCACACAACTGTATGTCTCTAATTCATCTAGCAACCTCTTATTTCCCTTATATTTCCACCTTCCCCTTTCCTGACCTTCACACCTGGTTCATCAATAGAAATCATATAAGCCCATCCCTAACTCCCCTTCCAGAGCAAGATGTGCAGTCACGTCCCAAGATTTTATCATAAAAACAGTAGCTCTCCCTCTGTCCACCACCTACCTCTCAACAGGCCGAACTGATTGCCCTGACCCATGCATTTACCATAGTTAAGGGCCTACGGGTTCACATCTATACAGACTCCAAATATGCATTCATATACTACACAGCCAGACTACCACTTGGACTAAAAAGCTGTTTTGTCACCTCCTGAGGGTCTTCAGCGATTAATGCTCCACTCATTAAAGCCTTTCTTCAGGCCACCCTCTTACCAGCTTGGGCAACTGTGCTTCGCTGCAGAGGACCCCAGAGACTTTCAGACCCCAGAGTTCCCAGAAACGCCTTTGCAGACAAAACCACTAAAGAGGTAACCTGCCTTCTCTCCTGCACCCCAAGGGTCAATATTTTGCCCTTTCTGAGATTACCCTAGCCTATTCCTTTTCTGAATGCCAACAAGATCAAGGCCTTGTTGCCAAAGAAGGATGGTTCCTACGCCAGGAAAATTTCTTCCTTCCCACTTCATAGGCCCATACCATTCTTTCGTCCTTTCATGACAATTTTCACATAGGCTATAAACCCCTAATGCAACTGCTCAAACCTCTCATCTGCTTTTCCTCCTGGAAGGCTCTTCTTAAAACCATTACCACTCAATGTCTTTCTCACACACAACCACACCTCAGGATTTTCTGAGGCCCCCTCCTTTTCCTACACATAAGGCATGAGGTTTTTCCCTAACTCAGGATTGGCAAATTGATTTTACTCACATGCCACGAGTGCAAAAGTTAAGGTACTTCCTGTTCTGGGTCAATATCTTTTTTTTTTTTTTTTCAGGGTTCTCAAAAAACCTCAGGCTGGTCTCAAACTCACAGCAATCCTCCTGCCTCAGCCTCCTGAGTGCTAGGATTATAGGTGTGTGCCGCCATGCCCAGCTCTGGGTCACTATCTTTACTGGATGGGTTAAGGCCTTTTCTACCAGCTCAGAAAAGGCCCCGGCCACTGGCAACTCCCTCCTAGCTGATACATCACTCATTTTGGTCTTCCCACCTCCACTGAATTAAACAATGGCCCAGCTTTCATTAGTCAAGTTACCCAGGAAGTGTCCAAGTCACTTAGTATCCAATGGAACCTCCATACCCCCTATTGGCCTCAATCACCTAGAAAGGTAGAAAGTGCCAATGGCCTCCTCAAAAGCCACCTCACTAAGCTCACACTCCAGCTCCATAAGGACTGGGGTTCCCTGCTCCCAATCACTCTCCTTCACATATGAGACACCCCCAGGAACTTAGGGGATATAGTCCATTTGAGCTTTTATATGGCCACACCTTTCTGCTTGGGCCTAACCTCAGCCCAAAGGCCAGCCCCATTGTAGACTACCTCCCAGTTCTGCAACAAGTCAAAAAAGAGATCTAAGGGCCAGGGATCTAGCTGAGTAGTTCTGGTGCCTGCTGCACAAGCACAAGGACCTGAGTTTGATCCCCGGTACAAAAAAAAAAAAAAAAAAAAAAAAATTGAGAGAGAGAGAGAGATCTGACATGCTGCTATGCTGCTAACCTCCTCCTGCCATCTCCTGATACCCAGCCTTTTGAAGATAGCCTGGTTAACAAATTGGTCCTAATTAAAGATTTAAACCTCCAGCCCTACTGCCTAATGAACAGACCCCTTTCTGGTTATCTACAGTGTGCCAACAGCTGTCTGTCAATAGGACCCTCCCCCGTGGGTACATCTCTCTCAGAAAAGCTATGCCCTGCTGATAACTTACCTGACCCTTCTCATGGAAATCTCAAGTAATTTCTCCTACTTCCCTCAGGTTATTCCAGATTCCAGAGGACACATAAATACCCTGCCCCTGTCTATCCTGTCGATGCACCCACTTCCCTCATTTGGTCAGCCCTGATCTCTCTTGGTTTCAGGGCTTTTTTTAAAAGATAGATGAATGCTTGATAGAGAGAGCTCTGAATACTCTGTGTTTTTATTATGCATTCAGCTATGCGACTTATTTGTAATCTTGTTAGGGATCCAAATCAATTGCCTTTTGCCTCCGGGATGAAATCACTTTTCATGCTCACACTCACCCTCACTATGATTAGGTTTCCCTTCTCCTATTCTAGACCCCTCCCCTGCTGAGACAGAAAGAGGCTTTTTCCACTTTCTATGCATCGTAAACCCAGTACCGGCGACACATGCTTTGGGAAGACAGTCTTCACTTGGTGTCTGACCAACTCTGGAGACATCTGCCTTGGTCACCCACCCATATTATGTTACAGCTCTGAGTTCCAACTTGAGATCTCCTGTGAACCCTTGTTGCCACTCTCATCACCTCTCTCTGCTCTTCATGGGAAATCCCACTCCTTGTACTTCCCCTTCCTCTCCCCTAGCCTGCATGTCATCAACAATGTAACTCCCTTGTTTGTTGGTCTGGGAGTTGCCACTACCACAGGGATAGGCATAACAGGTCTAGCTACCTCCCTGACCTACTATGGCTTCCTCTCCTGAGATCTTTCTGACAGCCTCAAAGAAATAACTAACTTCCATTCTTACCTTACAGAACCAGACAGATTCCCTGTGACAGTAACCCTCCAAAATAGTAGGGACCTATACTTTCTCACAGCTGAAAAAGGTGGTCTACACATCTTTCTAGCAGAAAAATGTTGCTTTTATACCAACCAATCAGGCATAGTTCAAGACACAGCAAAAAAAGCTAACTAAAAAGGCTTCAGAAATGAACCAACACCTGTCAGACTCTTGGACCAATATTTGTATTGGGGCTGGGGCTCATGGCTCCTTCCATTAACTGAGCCTCTTGTCTCCATTCCTCTCCTCCTCCTCTTTGAGCCATGCCTCTTCAGGGTTTTTTTTGTTTTTTGTTTTTCACAATTCCTACAAAAATGAGTTCAGGCCATCACCAATCAGTCAGTTTGACAAAAGCTAGTGCTGACCACCCCTCCATTCATTGCATCCCAAAAAAAAATTTTCTCCCAATTAAGATGTCCAAAAAAAAAAATGTCCATGCCACTCATATGTTCTGCACAAAGAAATCATGAACGGGTTGAGGGTGTAGCTCAGTGGCACTGCACTTGCCTGGCAAGCCCAAGGTCCTGAGTTCAATCCCTAGTATGAAAAAAAAAAAAAAGCTAAGAAAAACAGTGCCCCTCCTCAACCCTCTCCCTCTGTTTATTTAGTCTATTTATTTATTTATTTTGCTAACTCCTTCTTGTGAGGCAGGTGGCAGCACCACTGAGCTAAACCTCCAGCCCTCTCCCTCTGTTTATAGCAACAAAGAGACAAGAACATCACACCTGGTAGGTGAGGTCCATCTCCATGGCAGCTGCACAGGTCTCAGATTGAAGCCTCAGTGGTGGAAGTACAAGAAACTTCAAAGAAGAGCAAAGACAAGACTTCATGTCAGAACCCCACAGTTCCAAGAAGCTTGATAACGTCTGCACTGGCTTTTCCCTGACCTCACTCCTCTCCATCTTCCAAATTCCTCAAGGCCACAACTTCTCCCCTTTCCTTTACAGCTTTTGTTATCTGCTGGATGGCTATTGAATCCCCTTTCAGATTCAGACCTCTTGTTGCCTGCCATAATAAATAAGCCTTGTTCCTCACACTGTACCTGTCCAGATGCTCTCTCTTCTCTGTCTCTCTAACACAGATTGGATCCTCAAAATGGCAGATGATAGATGGATAGACAGAGAGTTAAAAGCCGAGCATGATGGCTTACAACTGTAATCCCAGCACTCTGAGAGGCTGAGGCTGGAGGATAACAAACCCTGCCCCTAGCTTGGGGAATTTAGCAATTTAGTAAGACCTTATCCCATAATAAAATAAATAGAAAAATAAATAAATAAAATAAATAAAACTGTACTATATCCCTAACATGTACCAATAAACTCAGTTAAAGCTGAAAAAAATAAATAAATAAGGGCTTGGGATATAGCTCAGTGTGAAGGCCCTTGGCTCAATCTCCGGTACTATAATACACACACACACATGTATGTATATGTACATGTATGTATATACATATACATACATACATATATATATATATATATATATAAATTACCACATGATCCAGAAATTCTACAATAACAGAATTTAAAACATACATTCAGGGCCAGGCGTGGTGGTGTACTCCTGTAATCCCAGCACTCGGCAGACTGAGGCAGGAGGATCGCTGTGAGTTCGAGACCAGCCTGGGCTACACAGCGAGTTTCAGAGCAGTCTGAGCTACATAGTGAGACCCTGTCTCAAAAAAACCAAAAAATAAAAATAAAAATAAATAAAAACATACATTCAGGGATGGGAATTTAGCTCAGTGGTTCCGCAGCCTGCCTTGCAAGCACAAGGACCGGAGTTCAATCCCCTGTACCAAAACAAAACAACAACAAAAAAAAATTCACAGAAGAACTTGTATCTGAATGTTCACAGCCTTATTATTTCATAACATCTAAAAAGTAGAGCTGGGCATGGTGGTGCACACTTATAATTACAGCACCCAGAAGTCTGAGGCAGGAGGATGGCCACAAATTTGAGGCCAACTTGGGCTACATAGTGAGTTCAAGGCCAGGCTGAACTACAAAGCGAGAGCCTGTCTCAAAAAAATAATAATGAAATAAAATAACACCAAAAAAGAAGAGCACACTGAGTGAAGTGAGTCAGAAAATGCTCATGAGGACCAAGTGCCAGTCCTATTTCAGGAACTGCTAGGTCAGTGGTGAACAAACGACAATATTAAAAAGCTTCAGTAAGGCTGGATATGGTAACACTCACCTGTATCCCAGCACTCTGGGGAGCTGAGACAAGAGGGTGGAAAGTTTCAGCACAGTCTGGGCAACTTAGTGAATTAGCAAGACTTTGTCTCAAAATAAAAAAACCAAAACAAAGATGGGGGAGGGAGGTGGGGGCACACACTAAGGATGTAGGTCGTAATAAAGGCCTTGGGTTCAATCCTTAGTGCCACAAAAACAAAACAAAGCAAAAAAACTTGAGTGAGAATTCACATTCTAGTGAGGAGCAACAGTCAATAAATCGGCCAGTCAGCAAATTGAAGGGGCTAACTGCAGATACTGAGGAATACTGTGAAGAAAACAAAACAGGTTCCAGACAAGGCTGACTGGAACGGTTACTTTAACTAAGGTAGTCCGGGAAGCCTTTCCTGCAGTGGTGACATTTGAATTCAGAGACTGGTGAGGTGGCTGTGATTTGATGGCTCAGGAAAGAGTGACTCAGTGAAGTGAGGAGACTCAGACTGGCAGAAAGCACAAGGCAAATTTGTGTGCCTGGGGCAAGGGGCTGTGCTGTCAGGGAGATGGAAAGGGACAAATCCACAGAGGCTTTATAGACCACCGTGAGTGGAACGCAGGCTCTCACACTTGCTAGGGATGTGCTCTCCCACTGCCCACACGCCACCCCTGCGCATGGACTTTATTCTAGTTGCAGTGGGATTTGACAGAGGAGACTGCTCACTCAGAAATTTGACTGTGAGAGAGAGAACCTACGTGGGAAATTGCTTGGGAAGGAGGGCTATGTATGCATTGCTCTGAAGGCAGACCTGGTCTGAGTTGCATTCATGTCCCCACTCTCCTGGCTGCTCTGCAAGAATGCCTGCAGTTCCTCCTGAATACTTACTAGCTTCTTTGTCCCTTGGGGAGTCTTTGTACTGCCATCTGCATTTTTTGGGTTGGTTTCCCTTTTGGAGACAGAGCCTCTGTGTGCTGCCCAGGCTGGCCTCAAACTCCTAGTCAAGCCATCCTCCTAAAAGTCTGGGACTATAGGTATTCAGCGTCAGCTGGTAGTTCTCCCATCTGTAAACAGGATTGGATCTCTGTCTCTTCAGACAGAGTGTGTAAGACCTGGGTGTAAGGTTGGTGGAGACCTCCTAAGAAATAACGGCGATTTAGCTCAGTGGTTTGGCCGCCTGCCTCACAAGCACAAGGTCCCAAGTTTGATCTCCAGTACCCAAAAAAAAAGAAAAGAAAAGAAATGCTGGCCATGTCTCTGAGCTGCCTGTGGTCCCAGAGCAGCCCACTGAGCTGCTTTGCTTGTGGGGCTCCTCACAGCAACCCTGGTCCTCCCACCCAGAGAGGAGACCTAAGACCCCTGAGGAGGCCAGAGGTTGAAACCAGACCTTAGTTTTCCTGTTCTGCTGTTCTCACAAAGTGCAACTGGCCAAAACCCCAAACCCATGAACTTGACCTATTTCCCTGAGAGCCTGTCCTCTTCTTATCTGCCCTAGGAATCCAGGAAGTTGTTACCTGTCTCAGGTGCCACTCATCTCTGAGCTTTCATCCCCTCACCGCAGGTCTTTGCCAGTCTCAGTAAGAAGGAAATTGAAACTGATTTTAGTAAGCACACCCAGAGCAGAGTAATGGGAGCAGAAGCCATCCATGAGTGTGGAGTAACTGACTTTTTTGAGGAACACTAACATCAAGGAATTGGAAGGTAGAAAGTGGCAGTTGGAAAGTAGAGCCAAAAATAGCCAGTGTGGTGGTGCACACCTGTAATAACAGCTCTCTGGGAGGCTGAGACACAGGGATCTCAAGTTTGTGTGCCCAGCATGGGCAACTTAACAAGTTAGTGAAACTCTGACTTAAAGAATTGTGAGAGAGCCAGGGATTTAGCTCAGTGGTTCTGCCACCTGCCTTGAAAACGCAAGGACCCGAGTTTGATCCCCGGTACAAAAAAAAAATTTTGGGGGGGAGCATTGGGCATGGTGGCACACACCTGTAATCCTACCAACTTGGGAGGCTGAAGCAGGAGGACTGTTATGAGTTTGAGAACAGCCTGGGCTACATAGTGAGTTCAAAGTGAGCCTGAACCACACATAACAGGACCCTGACTCAAAAAACAAAACAAAAAGAATGGGGGTGGGAGCTGATTACATAACTGAATTCAAAGGTCCTTGGTTCAGTCCCCAGTACTGTAAAACACACAGAAACACACACACAGGCACAAATACACACACACATGAAAGAGGGTAAAGATTAGAGGGATACTTCTTCCTGTGTATGTGGGTGCACATGAATCTGAGGGTGCAGGATCATCATCCTTTGTGCTCCTTGGAACAGGAATGAGGCTATTTGCTGATTGTGGGGAAAGGGGATAGAGGAGTGGGGAACAGTAGAGAGCTCTGACTGGAGAAGCAAGAAGACAGCCAGCCTCCTGGAGAACCCAGTTGGTGTTGGAATAAATTCAGAGCTGCACCAATATGCCCAGATGTGTGATTTGTTTTCCAGCTGTGCTTATTTGCACAGAGGAAGACACAAGAGATGGGTAGTTGGAATGACTCAGCGCTGGTGTGACTGAAAGACAACTGGCCAGGACAGCCTGGGGAAAGGGTCAAGGGGGGAGGGGCAGAGACGCCTGTGACTGAAAGAACAGCTATACTGTAAATCAGACGAACCTGTTTTATTGGCCCCATTTTTCCAGGTTGATGAGAAAGCACAGGCAAGATTTTTGTGGGTTTTTTCATTTTGTTTTGTTTTTCAATATTAGGGATTGAACCTAAGGCCTTCACACCGGCCCTTTTTCTCTTTCATTTGAGACAGGGTCTTGCTAAGGTGCTAAGTTCCCCAGGCTGCACTTGAATTTGGCATCCTCTTACCTCAGCCTCCTAGAGTGCTGGGATTTCAAGAGTGGGCCACTATGCTTAGCACAGGTTATTTTTTGACATATAATAATTGTATATATTATGGGGTAAGATAATTTCATACATGTGTACAAATGTATAATGATCATATCAAGAATTAGCCTCTGGAGCAGAGCGTGGTGGTGCACACCTGTAATCCCAGCACTTGGGAGGCTGAGGCAGGAGGATCGCTGTGAGTTTGAGACCAGCCTGGGCTATATAGTGAGCTCCAGGTCAGTCTCAACTACATAGTGAGACCCTGTCTCAAAAAACAAACAAAAATTATGTTCTTCAGTTCCATCCAAGTCGACAGAATTTCTTCCTTTTTCATAGCTGAATAATGTTCAGTTGTGTATGTTTCACACAAAGTTCTCCATATGCTTGTGCATTCCTCATTATTAGGAATTCTTCATTGTATGTGTGACCACCAGCATTTTTTGAACACATGTCTTATATCTTGGTAATCCCACCTTTCCCAGGTAAATGCTGGAACTGCCTGCCTAGCCTCCTTCCTAGGAAGGGCCCAATAGGGTGACCTGGCCACCAACCAGAGGCACCCACATGAGACCAGAACAAAGGATATGGTGCCAAGAGGCACGAGGCATCAGCTTTACAGAAAGAACATTGCCAGCAAGGGTGGCAAGGCTCTGGGAGGCAATGAGGGCAGAGAGTCCAGCAACAGCAACAATGCTTAGCACCTGCCAAGGGAGCTACTGAGCTGATGTTGTGGAGTGTAGGGAACAGGGAAAGGGGGCGTTACCGAAACTCCTACAGTAGGTCCTGGTCTCCTCTGAGCCACTACAGCACAAAGTGTTAAGAGTTAAGACAGGAGTTAAGACTGGGGGCGTTACCGAAACTCCTACAGTAGGTCCTGGTCTCCTCTGAGCCACTACAGCACAAAGTGAATTAAGGAGTTAAGACAGGAAACGAGACTTGGAGAAGAAGCTGGGTTCTCACCTGATCAATGTTGCACTG